GGCTTTTGGCTGTGCCTTTTCCTCCTGAAAGGGAGGCAAAAATGCCAGGATGCAAAAATTAGTGCATGTTAGTGAGGAAGCAAAATGGAGCAGCAGCAGCAGCACTGCCCCTGACCCGTGATCCTCCTCCCTGCATCTGCTCTGGCTTCTCCTGGGGCTGAACTCCAAGGGTTGAATGGATAGAACAATCCTTTCTCTTTATCTAATCTCTTCTCTGCCCCATTATCTCAGCACAAACACATGTTGGTTTCTCCACTGCTCAGTTAAACCCTCTCGGGAGCAGCAGCCGTGGCACTGCCTAGGCTGCAAATGGGGCTGGTCCATCCTTGTCAAGGAAAAGAGGTGGCATTGCTCCCCCAGGAAAGGCTCCCAGAAGGGAGCCTTGATCCATGCAAATACCACACGTGGAATTTCAATGCCTGCTTGTTTTATGTCGCTTTCAGTCACCCTTGTCTCATAAGGGGCATAAAATCAGGTCAGCTTCACCAGCTCCAGCCATCTCCATCATCACTAACCTCACAAGAGCCTGCTGCATTCAGGCATGTTTCATCATCCATCAGCAACAAAAAGACTTAAACCACAACATAATACATTGACAAAACCAGATATAGGTGATAAACAGCAACTTATCAATGTGCATTAAAAGCAGATGGGTAACAGAGTTATGGACTGGTTTGTTTTGGAAGGGACCTTAAAGCTCACCCGGTTCCAACCCCTGCCATGTCCAACCCTGAACACTTCCAGTTCCATCTTGCTGCTGCACATCTACTTGATCTAACACATCCATAATAACACATCACTAGAAGCAAAATCACATCAGTCAACCTGCAACGGGGATGCTCTGCAAAGCCACTTCCTCAGCAGCAGAAAGTCGGGGGAGCAGAAAGCAGCGGCTGCATAAAGGAGCCCGCACACACGCTGCTGCCCTAGTGACAATAAATAGTCCCTAATGCAACCTTTCCACTGCGCAGCCCGTCTGGGGACCAATATCCTCTGGAAATCATTAACTCCAAGAGGCTACACAGACAGAAATGTGATAAATGGAGACTGATAAAACTCAGTTTTCTCCAGATTAAAACTGAATTCTGTTTTCAGGCTCCTGGTGTGCTCTCACTCTCAGAGACCCGATGGTGCGGTTGCCTTTCATCCATTGGTAACTCCTAAACTGTGGGACCTGCCTGTGGACACAGTGGGACTGGGACACATTCCTGCAGCATCCACCAGGGGTTTGGTCCAGACACACAAGGGCAGCCGGATTTCCCCGCTCTGCACCATGGGATGAGGCAAATGCTGTTTCATCTGTAGAGTCAGGAGCAAAGCTGCTGATTCACATGGAGGTGCCAGCAGGCACCTCTGGTTCACCCAGTGAAGTTAAGATCTACCGTAAATAAGATGCACCCTTTCCTGTAAACGAGTGGCAGAACTGGTTTTGCAGCCCTTGCCAATTTGCTGATAGAAAACAAGGTGCTTATAAGGGAAAGCGAGTGAGCTTGATTCAGCTTAATCACTGGGTTAATGAACTGTGCACCAGAGGAACACCACTGAAGTTGCATAACTTGTATAAAACCTCCTTCGGTAGGGTTCACTTGAAACAACAGCATCTCACCCATGAAACCATCGCCTCCAACAGCAGGAGACTGATGCTCCCAAGAGCTGGTAAAGAAGAGAGGAGAAGCTGCCCTGAGGCTTTTCTCTAGACCACTGAGGTCAGTAAAGTCACACAAGGCATTCCCCTTCCTCCAGGGGCACAGTGTTATTTGGGCTCTTAAATTTAGCAGCACAAGGATAAGTTGTGGATATTGTTAGGGTGCTGAGGCACTGGAATGGGTTGCCCAGGGAGGTTGTGAATGCTCCATCCCTGGCGGTGTTCAAGGCCAGGTTGGACAGAGCCTTGGGGGAGATGGTTTAGTGTGAGGTGTCCCTGCCCATGCAGGGGGGTTGGAACTGGATGATCTTAAGGTCCTTTCCAACCTGAACTATTCTGTGATTCTATGATTCTATATACTTTGCTAAAGTCCTAGAATGGTTTGGGTTGGAAGGGATCTGCGCAAGGCTGGCATTACTGGAGGAGGAATAGATGATACATGGATGGATTAGTGGGGATGGATGGGCTCATGAGCAGAGCAAGTTACTGTGCTCATGAACACAACTTCTGTCCTGCACAGCACAAACTGGGTGGCAAAACGTGGTTACAGGAGTTGTGTATCGTGATAAACTCATCTCACGTGTAAACACAGGTTCCCTTGGGTGCCCTCAGATACTGACCCAAGGGGGAGACACAGGAGGAGGTGATCCCACAACAGCAGGCGCTGGCTCCGCTGGACCTCCGCAAGGCACAACAGCGCCAGGCAAGTAATAGCACGGTATGAAACCGGGCTGAGCTTTACTAATCTGCTAAAGAATGACTGCAGGGGGAGCAGATCTGAGCTCAGGAGGGAAGAACCTGCTCTTCCCTCCCTCAACCACAGCCTAGCGAGGGCAGAGTGCTCTGACACCATCTCTGCTTGTTTCTTCAATCAAACCCAGCCGTGCTTTCCCCACCCGACCTGGCTCACTTCTGCAAACCTCTGTTCTCCATCTCCTATACACACAACCGCCCTTCCAGGCTTCCTCCTGTCTCGCAGCTCTGCATTTGGCACCCAGCGATTCCCAGCAGTGCTCCACAGCACCTTCAGCTGAAAAGCCTGGAGCATTTAATAGGAAAAACTCTGTTTGGTTTATTTTAAGCTGTTGTAGCGGAGCTGGCCCAGGCTGGGGTTGTATTTGGCACATGTCCACGGCTGCTGTGCAGCGATAAGTGTGGCTGCTACGGCAGCATCAAGATGAGACAGGAAAGGGTGGGATGGGTGTCAGCTCTTGAACAAGCCGTGACAAACATGGGGCAGGAGGCTGAAACTCCTGACCTACCACACGTGATGAAAAGGTGACCACAGACCCCCTGGGTCACCAAGGAGAGGAAGCCCCACGATGCTGCCGACATACATTATGGGGCCAGGAGTGGCACAGAACCAAAGCCAGTTGTGTTTTCATGTGTTTCCATGCTGCAGCCTATGTTAAAGCTCTTTGCTGTCACATCACAGCAGACCTGGCAAGTAACAGCACGGTATCAAGCTGGACTAATCATTAATCTGCTGAAGAATGACTGCAGGGTTGGCGTACCTGAGCTCTAAAGGGAAGAACCTGCTCTTCCTTTCCTCAACCTGAGCTTGACCTCTAGCCCTGGGGATAAACCCAACACAGGGGTGAAGTCAATGGGCTCTGTGCAAGGGTCCCAGGACGAGGAAGAGATGTGGCTCCCACCCATGAGTGACATCTCAAAGCCACTGCCTGAGGCTGGCTTTGGCTTCCAGAGGGAAAAGAAATGGGCAGAAACAACACGGATCCGTGCCCAGGCTTTGTGAGCTGAGGGCTGGCACTGGGGGTCTGGGCCCCAAGGGTAAGGCAGTCACTACGGGCACAAGCTTGACATGGGCTATGTGTCACACAGCACAGCTATTGGGTACAGCCAGCACTGGGCTTAAACAAGAACAGAGGAACAGCCCATTGAGGAAAAGGGACAAGTGCAAGCTGCACTTCCAGCAGGCAAGGGAAAAGATGCTGAGTGCGGAGGAAGGCAAAGAGGCTGGACATAAACCACGCATGCTTCCAAGTGCTCAAGGCAATGCTCTGGCACAAGACTTTGATCAGACTCGTAAAGCTGAACTCAGTGCATTCATTTCTTCCTGACCGCTGCAATAGCACCAGCAGCCCCATATCCTCAACCTGAGCTGCTCCTCCAAGACCTCTCAGAGCTGCTGTTCTTCTTCCAGGACTGCTCAGGACCTGGAAGCTCTTCAGAGTGCCCAAGTGCCCCTGCAGGGTGCTCTACAGCCTTTTTAAAGGCAGAAGCGCACTGCGCTTGGCTCACATCATCTTTTGAGCAGTGCTGAGCCTGACCGAGGCTGTTTTGCATTGCTGGACAGCTGATGGTGTTCGCCATCAGGGTAGTGTAAGGGAAGCCTCACAGTGGGTATCAGAATCACAGAACCCCAGCCTGGTTTGTGTTGGAAGAGACCTTAAAGCTCCTCCAGCTCCAGCCCCTGCCACGGGCAGGGACCCCTTCCACTGGAGCAGCTTGCTCCAAGCCCCTGTGTCCAACCTGGCCTTGAGCACTGCCAGGGATGGGGCAGCCACAGCTTCTCTGGGCACCCTGTGCCAGCGCCTCAGCACCCTCATTTGTGTCTTGTCTGGAACGGACATTCCCAATGCCATGGCCAGGCAGTGCCAGCACAGAGGACACCAGGACAGCCCCCGACAGCCACCAGCACACACAATAACCTGCAGAGACCTCCCTTAGAGCAAGGCAGCCCCAGTGAGGGCCGCAGTGACCCACACGCTGCTCCCCAGGGCTCTCCCCCGCCGATGGGCGCTGCTCTGGGGCAGCTCCTGCAGCAGCACCCGGAGCCACAGGTGTCTTGCGGGTGCCACTGCCCTCTGCAGTCCCCAGAGGAAGGCACCAGAGCTACAATCATGACTTGACCTGACATAAAACAGGGGAAATAAAGCTCATAGGATGTGCAAATCATCTTATACTTGGGCAACAGAATCTATTCTCCCTTCCCAAAGGCACATTCCTTGCTCGGAGCAGAGGGAAGCTGGGCAGGCTGTGCTGCTCCAAGGAGAGATCACCACCACCAGGGCCACCTGGGACACAAGGGTCAGTCCTTGCCTCCCTCTTGGCTGGACTAGAATCAGTAAATACCAAGCTGAGGCGCGCATCCAGGACGGAACGTTTTCAGCTCAAACAACTGACAACGGCAGAGTTAAAAACAACTGGAAACTCAAACCCAGGCACCTGGAATGGGATAAACCGCACCTCCCTGCAGCCCTGCTCGCTCCGGGGGCACGTACATGAAGGACAACTCCAGAGCCGAGGAGCGCCGGCATCCCCGGGCAGAGCAGCGGGCAGGGATGGAGGAAGCGTCAGAAACAGCGCTGATTTCAGCCGCGCTCACACTCACCCGCGGCGGGGGAGGAGGAGGAGGGAACCGCGGAGCCACGACGGGAACCGGGGCCGCATCTCCCCTGACCCCGCAGCCCGCTCACGCATCCAGCTCCGTCCGCGATGCTCCCCCGGTCCCGCCGCTCCCCGCAGCGCGGCTTGCGCGGGGTCCGCCGCTCACCTCCCGCTGCCCGGCCCCGCGCTCCTTTCGCTTTCCCTTTCCCTGCGCAGAGGGGCCGGGCCCGGCCGCGGCCGCCCTCAGGGGAAGGGGCTGCGGGAGGCTCGGCTCGGGCCGGGGCGGAACCCGGAGCGGCGGCACCGCGATGGGCGCTGGGGCAGAGCCTGCCCTGGTCCGCATGGCACCGACCGAGGCCGGTGCTTCCCGGTGCTCGCCATGACCCGCAGCAGGCAGAGGGACCGCAGCCCTGCACCCCTCGAGGTGCGAAAGAGCCGACCCCGAGGGTGACGGGGGTTGATTTGGGACCTGGAGATGGGGTGCTTGGGATGCGGGAGCAACTTCCTTCATGGGAAAACAGCGGCCTCCCAACAGGAGAACTCCTTCTAACCAGCCCTGTGTGTGTCAGCAGGAGCTGTAAGAACACCCGAGCCATAAGATTTCTGATGGCTGAGGACAATTCATGGATAAATCAAAAGGGAATCAAGTTAATTTGCCCCAGGGCCAAAGAACCCTCCAGATGGTCACAATTAAAGATGCCTCAGAAGCACGAGTCAACAGTGGAAGAGCATCCCCATCCAACACAGCTGGGGGAGAGGAGCAATCAGCAGGAACAAGGAGCCTCCTCCCCAGATGTTCTGCCCTAGTCCTTCTGCACGCTCCAGGGAAGGACTGCATGCTTCAGAGCTGGTTTCTCCAGGGATGTAATCCCTCATCTTGGCATTTCCTGCTTATCACTCCTGTTATTTACCTTGCCTCGAAGTAAAGCTGTACCAGAGCAGCGAGCAGCAGGTAGCGCAGGGGGTTCTGAGCACAGCGCCTGTTTTGGGGTGTTTTCCCACTGGACACAAGAGGGAAATTCTTCACAATGAGAACAATCAGCCATGGGAACAATCCCCTCAGGGAAGTGGTGGATTCCCCAGCGTTGGACACTGTTAAGATTTGGCTGGACATGGCGCTGGGACGTCTCATCTAGGTTGTGCTTTGCCTAGAAAGTTTGGACCAGATGATCCCTATTGTCCCTTCCAACCTGGGATTCCATGGTTCTCTTCACAGGAGCACTCGTTTCTGCACAGGGCTGTGCAGAATGCACCTCACAGCCACCCCCCCAGAAGAAAGACCCCAAATCCAAGCAGCCCTGCAGCACACAGGCTGCTGGAGGCCACGGGGATGTCACGTTCCTGGGTTGGTTTGCAAGGGGAAGAGCAAGGCGGGGGCTCAGCCCTGGATCCCAGTGGCCGGCAGGGATTACACAAGCGCTGCTGCCCGCTCTCCATGGGGCTGCTCTTCTCCAGGCTGCCCCAGCCCAGCTCTCTCAGCCTGGCTCCAGAGCAGAGCTGCTCCAGCCCTTGCAGCAGCTCCATGGCCTCCTCTGGCCTCGCTCCAGCAGCTCCACGTCCCTCTTGTGCTGCTGCCCCAGCGCTGGATCAGGACTGCGGGGGGGGGGGGGGGGGGGGGTGGGGGGTGGCCTCACAGAGTGCAGCAGAGGGGGAGAATCCCCAACTTGTTTCTTAAACCTGCAATGAACCAAACTGAGCTGACCTATAGGGATGCTGGGGAGGGACTCTTCATTAGGGACTGTAGTGACAGGACAAGGGGTAACGGGTTCAAACTGAAACAGGGGAAGTTTAGATTGGATCTAAGGAGGAAATTCTTTCCTGTGAGGGTGCTGAGGCACTGGAATGGGTTGCCCAGGGAGGTTGTGAATGCTCCATCCCTGGCAGTGTTCAAGGCCAGGTTGGACAGAGCCTTGGGTGCCATGGTTTAGAGTGAGGTGTCCCTGCCCATGGCAGGGGGTTGGAACTGGATGATCTTAAGGTCCTTTCCAACCCAAACTATTCTATGGTTCTATAGAAGTACAATGCTGTGCTGGTGGTACTTCTGCTTCTCCACAGGCACACAGCTGAATGTTGCACATGGAGGGGAACCCCCCAGACTGAATGGAGCAGCAACGTTTGCACAGCTTGTGTGCTTGTTTCATGTGGGAACACAGAATCATAGCACGGTTAGGGCTGGAAAGGACCTTCAGATAGAGTAAATTTTCTTCCCAGTAGCTGGTGCAGTGCTGTGTTTTGGCTCTAGTCTGAGAACAATGCTGATAACGCTCCCATGGTTTAGTTGTTGCTAAGTAGCTTTTACCCTGATCAAGCACTTCCAGTCCTCCACAGAATGGTTCGGGTTGGAAAGGACCTTAAGATCATCCAGTTCCAACCCCCTGCCACGGGCAAGGACACCTCACACCAAACCATGGCACCCAAGTCTCTGTCCCACCTGGCCTTGAACACTGCCAGTGACGAGGGGCACAAGAAGCCAGGAGGAAGCAGAGCTGGGACCCCTGACCTGAGCCAGCCAAAGGGGTTATCCCGCACTAGATGATGTTATTTGAATTATTAAACTGATGTTATCTCAACCCACAGGTTTTACCTTTTCCCCGATTCCTCTCCCCATCCCACTGTGGGGGCAACGAGGCAGCGGCCATGTGGGACTTTGTCACCAGCCGGGTTGTCTCAGGCCATCGCTTTGCTTAGAGAAGTATTCAACAAAAGAATCATGGAAAACAGTCATTATAAATCATACAAGATCAAGGAAGGTAAGGCCTGTAAGATCACCAAAAATGAAGCAGCTCTGCTATACAGAATGTCCTAAACCATAAAGATGTAAAGCACCCCAAAAAATGAAGGTGTAAAAAACCCCATATGAGAATGCTCCATTTTAAGATAATTCCAGATTTTATTCTGAGTTTTACAAATAACAATAATTTTTCTACAAAACCCTCAAGAATCAGTCTAGTTACAGGTAGGAACTTTTACATTCTTAAAGACACTTCTACATCTTTCTATACACAAGGCTGTGGCTGCCACTAGTTTAAAGTACCCCAAGGGCATTTGTAAGTAAGGCATTGTGATGCCCGAGCCCATTCTAGGCTTTAATAAACCATTGACAACTGCCAGGATCAAGGTTCTGTTCTACAAATCCTGAAAGGGGTGTTTATTTGCACAGAGCATCAGTGTCCTCACGTGCTTACTGTGCTCAGGGCCCTGGAGAGCATTAAAGGGAAGTCTCTGTGGTGGGTCTATGAAGCAGAACTCCCTTCCTCCATGGTACCAGCAGCTCATAGATTTATCCCAACACCTCTTGCAAAGGTAAATCCTGTCCCTTTCCCCTTACAAGGCATCACTCGCTGCTTCTTTGAGGATAACAGCAGCAAAAGCATTGACTTCCCCAGAGAGCAGCCCCTCTGCCACAGCCAAGACCAGTGCTCAGGAGCAATCAGATACTGGTACTAAACCCCATCAGCTCTCTACCAAAGGGACAATGTGTGTGACTGCCATTGGGATTCAAGGCACAGTGCAGCACCAGGACTTTATTCTGCAGGTACTGCCATGCTTAGTGCTACAAGCCTTACCTCTCGCCAGCACTGATGCCACTCACATTCGCCAGGGACAAGATCAGGACCTTTCATCTGCACACTGATCACCCACCTGCACTAAGATATTCCCTCAGCTTCTTTTGGCAGTACCTATGAGCTGGATTGTGCCTAACCAGAACAAGACCCTTGTTTTAAACATGAAAAGAGCAGGATAGAAAAGGAGTTACAAAGGTATCCATGACGCCACATTAAATATAGCCCATGTTTCCGACTCATACTTTTCAAAACATCAGCAAGGAAAAACCCCCAATATTTTTTGACACAGAGGCTGCCATTGTGCTTGTGGCATTAGTCATAACCAGGAAATTCCCCTTTTTGCCAGAAAAAAACCCAGTTCCTTCCCCTCTCCCTCTTTAGTAAACATCACAACAAATATGCAAGAACAAAAGTCCCTCTGTCAGGCACATACCTGGAGAGAACAGTGGATTAGAATCAAGAGCTAAACTGGACCTTAAATGGGCTCTGTGCTTTCGGACAGGAATTCCCATGCTCGCTCCTGTCTCAGGGACGCAGGGATCTTCCATTTCAGGGCTGTTTTCTGAAGCAGTTTACAGGAAGAGACTCACGGGCCACAGTTGTTTATACTGGCAAGCTCATGACAAGGAAGCTGGAGCTCAGTGTGCTTTGCCTCAGATTCCTGCAGTTATCAGATAACTCTCCTGCAACACACAGAAAAGCAGCAGCTTCTTAACGCTCCTGCCCCTAGAAATCAGGTTTAAGAAGAGAACCTTATTTTAGGTTTCAGAACAGGCTCTTTCAGGTTTGCAATGAGTATTTCAAACAAGGGGACAGGCCTGAGAAATTGCATCATGTCTTTTGGGCAGGGGAGACCGGCTGTTAATGCGCTCTCCTGCCATGCATCCGCTCATGTCAGGGCAACTGTATGATGTGCAGCAAGGCTTACAAAATCCATCCTCTTGTTTCTGCGCTGGCTCCAAACCCCACACTGCATCTTAAACCTGTCAACTTAAACACAAGTGACACTGAACCTGCCCAAGCATTTGGATTTCTCTCCTTGGAAGAGCTGAGGGTATGAGCTGGTACCACCGGGCAACTTCCTGCTGCATCCAGAAGCCAAAGTACTGAACAAGTAGGGGAGAAAACACAGGGAAAGGGGAGCAAACGCTGTAGCTCAAGACACTGGCAGGAAGTTAAGCAAACAAACCACTATAGTCTATACAGCGTTTTCTGCTTTCTTGTTTCTGCAACAAACAATCCCAAGGGCGCACATCAGTCTGACTGCTGGAATCAAAGTCTTGGTTAATGAGAGATGGGAATCGGCCGATGTCTGCTGTGTTCAGAAGACAGAACCAGTCTGGTCGTGTCTGTGACCTGTGAGGGTGCTGAGGCCAGGTTGGACACAGGGGCTTGGAGCAACCCGCTCCAGTGGAAGGTGTCCTTGCCTGTGGCAGGGGTTGGAGCTGGAGGAGCTTTAAGGTCCCTTCCACCCCAAACCAGTCTGAGATTCTATGACAACTCCCACAGCCAGGTCCCGCAGCAAAGTAAGGCCCTTAAAAGCTTTGGCTACAAAGGTTTAGGTTCTGTTTATTAAGTCTCAACAAGA